CAGTGACCCCAAGTGGATTTGCACAACCTGTAAAATTACAAGTCATTCAGACAAGGAAACATCACTGTAATTAATTTCTTAAGTTAAACACGCATACACATGACAAAATGGTAACATGAACTATTAGATCTATAGCACTGAAGTTTCGAATGTTTAACATTATATTTATTTTCATTGGCTTTCTAGGTAGGTAACTTAAACATAACACTTTTGATAGCATTTAATAAACGAGAATAAGAACATCTGTAGGGTCCCCGCGTGGATTAAGCCTCTGGTGTTTCCTCTCTGACCATAGTTTACGAATGTGAACAGCTTTGCTATCAGACCGAGAGCATTATAATGTCAATTATGGTAGCTGTAGTTAGGTTAAAACGTAACACCCAATTTGTTCCAGTTTTTAATATTTCTGGTTACTTTTCAATTGAGGTTTTCCTCTTTTATTTTGTCATTGTTGTTTTTTTTAGTAGTTTCTTGTTTATGTTTTGTTTGCTTCTCTGGATATGAAATGCAAGATAGGTAAATCTATAGATACAGTTAATGGGTTAATAATTATGTAGGGGTATAACAGGGGAAGTTGGAGGTAAATGAGGCAGTAACAAGAATGACTACATGAAAGAGGAAAATATTCTAAAATTGATTGTTGAAGATGACTGCACAACTCTTAATGACTGAACAATTGAATTATATGATGTGGATTACATGCTAATAAATCTATTAAAATTAATTATACTCATGATTACTATCTGAAATTAAGTATATTGCTAATAATAGTACTGATTACTAATATTTATAGCATATTTATCAGAAGCCAGATACTATTTTAATTATATTTAAAGTTGAGTGATCCTTACAATTCTATACTTGCTACAGAAAAAGAAACGAGTAATAAGTTGCCTAAAGTCACACAGCTAAATTGAAACTAAGATGTTTTATTCCAGAGCTTATAATCTTAGTAAACTAATATACTAAATTTTTATTCATAAACTTACCTGGGTCTACTAAGTAAGCTATGTGCTCTATTGCAAAATATTCTCTAAACTCAGTGGGGAAAAAAGATTACTGGAAGGTTGGGGTGGAGAGAACGGTGTGCTTTCTTAACCAGTTACACATTAATAAACACATTTTAACAATTAAAATAAATAAATCCATTAAACAGATAAATGATTTTAATGTAAACATTTCAATATATGTATACATAAAAAATGATATTAAACATAACCTTTTAAAAATACTTCACAACTCTGATTTATCCTTATCATACTGGTTTAAAAAAATTCTATAAACTCCTGATGGTTTATAACTTAAAAGTTCATTTTCCTGAAGATTTGCATTGATTTTTCCAGATTTCGTTACATATATAGCAGCTACTGATTATTATTTGAAAGCTAAAATATTATGTTACTATAATGCCTGGACTTTTTTATACATCTTATATGCTTCCATATACATGTATTCTCTAAAGATATTGAAAATACTGAAATTATATTTCAATACTTTGTTAAACTGCCTTTGCTCCAAAATTATCTAATTTTTTGTCAAAATCACCTGAGATTTGAAGAGATAAACATATTCAGTCTAAAAAGCCCCTCTTCACATCCAGAAAATATAGAAAAATAAGAAAGGCTATAACATCAAAACTTGAGAAGCTGAGTAGGTATGATATTTATTTTGAGAATATGTTCATATTGGTTAATTTAGATCCTTGAATTATTCTTGCCAACCAAATAAGGTAATTATAAAATTAAATATAACAATTCATTAGAAAAGTATTGATATTTTAGTGGTATATCTAATCTAGTCCTATAATTTAGGGATTTATTACAAAGCAATTTGAAAGTCACACAATTTCCCAACACTGATACTCGTAAGTATTCATTACACCCAAGGGTAAAATAAAAACTAAGCCATCTTTTACTTTAAAACATAA